GCTCTGATGAGTCTCCATTTCTGCTGACACATTCGGATGCTCGAAGCAGAATTTGGCCTCAACAACATGAGATCTCAGACTGGTTTCTTGAACATGACGATGAGTTCACTGTACTCAAATGGCCTCCACAGTCACCAGAGCTCAATCCAATAGAGCAGCTTTGGGATGTGGTGGAGCGGGAGATTGGCATCATGGATGTGCAGCCGACAAATCTGCAGCAACTGTGTGATGCTATCATGACAACATGGAGCAAAATCTCTGAGGAATATTTCCAGCAGCTTGCTGAATCTCTGACATGAAGGATTAAAGCAGATCAGAAGGCAAAAGGGGTCCAACTCGGTACTAGTGAGGTGTACCTAATAAAGTGGCCGTTAAATCACTGAATCATTTAGTCAAATGATTTGTTCAAAACGCCTGATTCACTTACAAATGAAGCAAGAAACAAACAAAGTGACTCTTTATCAATGAATCACTGAATCGTTGACTTTAGTAAACACTAATTCTCCACATTTATAGCCGTAGTGTGTGTGTGTGTGTGTGTGTGTGTGTGTGTGTGTGTGTGTGTCTCACCCTTTCTGTGACACACCAGAGACTCCACACTGGCATGAAGCTTCCTGAGCTGAAGATCCAGATTCTCAAACTGCTGCTGCTTCTCCTCAAACCACTGCGTGCACACACACACACATTTCATTAATTTTATTTGGAATGACTATCTCACACACACACACACACACACACGCACGCACGCACGCATGCACTTTTAGATTATTTTGTTCATGTTTACTGTCTGCTGGGTGTGCATTACTGAATTGTACAGCGCAAATGAGCATCACATGACCTGACCAAACACACTCACTACACACACACACTACAAATACACACACACTACACTCTCACACACACACACACACACACGGTTTCTCTCTCACACACACACAAACTACACTCACACACACACACACACACACACACACACACACACACACACACACACACACACACACACACACAAACTACATATACACACACACACACTCTCACACACATACAAACTACATATACACACACAAACTACACACACACACAAACTACACACTTTCTCTCACACACACAAACTACAAACACTCTCTCTCTCACACACACACACACACTCTTGCGCTCTCTCTCACACACAAACTACACACACATACTCACTCTCTCTCTCTCACACACACACACAAACCACACATACACACACACACACACACACACACAAACTACATATACACACACACACACTCTCACACACATACAAACTACATATACACACACAAACTACACACACACACATACTACACACTTTCTCTCACACACACAAACTACAAACACTCTCTCTCTCTCTCTCTCACACACACACACACTCTTGCGCTCTCTCTCACACACAAACTACACACACATACTCACTCTCTCTCTCTCACACACACACACAAACCACACATACACACACACAAACTACATATACACACACTCACACACACAAACTACACACACACACACTCACACACAAACTACACACACACTCTTACACACACAAACTACACACACACTCACACACACAAACTACACACACACACACACACACACTCTCACACACAAACGCACACAAACTACACACACACACACTATCTTGCACACAAACTACACACACACACTCTCACACACACACACTTACACTATCTCACACACAAACTACACACACACTCTCACTCACACACA